TCCCCAGCCCGGCTGCCTTTGCCAGTAAGAATCCACAAGACTGCTGTGCTAGCAATGAGGAGCGCTCCGGGTGTGTGGACCCTCGCCGGCCAGTGGTGATAGGATCCTGGGTGGCCTGTTTGCTTAAACGCAGTATGGGGGAGTACCCGACTTTCCAGGTGTTGTGCTCAGCCCTGGCAGAAAAGGGATCCCTCCCCTGCGCTTCCATGGGTGCAGCACACCAACATGGCACAAGTATACATATGTAACAAACCTGCACGTTATGCACATGTACCCTACAAGTTAAAGTATAATAATAATAAATAAATTAAAAAAAAAAAACAGAGAAAACATGCTCTATGGATTAAAGATGTTTTCTAAAGATAAAAAAAAGTGAAAGGAGAATGTAACCAGCTTCTCAGTAACTGACAGCAACACTTATCCAAAATGATGCTGATCGACGGAAAACCACTAACCGTCCTCTCTGTGAGGTTGGCTCAAACAATAGGCACAAAGGTCCTATGCCTATGGTCTACCCTCAGATTGTTCTTATAAAAAAAAAAACTTTAGGCATTATAACACATAACAGTAACACAAGGATAGCACAATGGGATGAAGATGGCCTCATTCTACCAAGAATGTCAACAAAATGGGGTCTACAAAATCTAGGTACCAAACTCAGAATAAATAGCTGCAGAACTCGATAGAAAGAGAACAGAGTTAAGCTCTTGTGCTGACTTACCACATCATCATGCACTTGACAAGTCAGGAAAAGCAAGGCAAAGGCGACCTTCATGGGCGGTGCACATAGTCAAGGCTGCCACCTATGGCAGGGGATAGTGCAGAATATATTTCAGTGGAGTCTTCATGTCACCATGAAAATTAGTAGACCACCTGGGGTAAGTGTCCTATTCAAGTGTACCATTTTAAAATCTTTTATACCATATGTTTACTGTACCTTTTCTGTTTATATACACAAATGCTGACCATTGTGTTACAATTGCCTACAGCATTCAGCATGGTAACATGCTATACAGGTTTGTAGTTTAGGAGCAATAGGCTATACCATATAGGTCTAGATCTGCGATAGGCTATACCACCTAGGTTTGGGTAAGTACATTCTATGAAGTTCACACAACAATCACATTACACAATAGTGCATTTCTCAAGATATATCCCTATCATTAAAAATGCATGATTGTATAAAAAATAAAATAGATGTTGAAAGAGTGAAATTGCTATCTATTGTTTCATAACATGTAACCCCAAAACTTTGTGGCACAAAAATCACAATATTTATTACCTAATTGAGTTTCTGTATATGAGAAATTCAAGAACAATTTATCATGGTGGTTGTGCCTCAGGACATCTCATGTGGTTACAGTCAGATTTCAATTGGGGCTGTCATCCAAGGCTTGACCGAAACTAGAAGATCCACCTTCAAGTTTGCTAACATTCATGGCCTGCAAGTTGGTGGGGTTTGTAATTGAGGCCTCAGGTTCTCTCCACATAGATATTTTTGTAGGGCTGCTTGATTGTTCTCACCAAATAGCTGCTGGTTTCTTCCAGAGTGAGTGGCTTAGGAAAAAACAAAGCATAAGTGACAAAATCTTTTATGACCTAGACTCAGAAGTCACACATGGTCACTTCCATCACATTCCATTCACCAGAAAGGACTTTTCAGCTTGATATACCTTCAAGAAGAGAATTAGGGTCTATGAAAGGACTTCAATAAGTTGGTGAAAAAATGAAAGTAAAACACAAAAATAAAATATATAAGCCTTATTTCTCAACATAAGCTTCATGAAGTTCAAGACACTTTTATAAGCAATAATACCAGCCTTTAGTCTATCCCTACAAAAAGTAAAGTCCTGGAAATTTATCCTTGTCAAGACAGCCTTTTCTATATTATTACCTGAAGAAAAATGGGTCTCCTTTAAAGGTTTTTAAAATCAGAAAAGAAAAAGAAGTTAGTGGGAGCCAAATCAGGAATAAAAGGTGGATGCCTAATAATTTTCCATGGAAACCCTGGCAAAATTGTCTTTTTTTTAAAATGAGGGGAATAAAGAGGAACATCGTTATGGTGGAGAAGAATTCTCTGGTGAAATTTTCTGGAAATTTTCCTTCTAAAGATTTGGCTAACTTTCCCCAAATACTCTCATAATAGCATGTGTTATTGGGTTTTTTGTTTTTCGCCCTCTAGAAAGCCAACAAGCAAAATGCCTTGAGCATCCTAAGACACTGTTACTATGAGCCTTGTTCCAGACCAGTCACCTTTTGCTGAGACTGGACCACTTTCACCTCTTGGTAGCCATTGTTTTAATTGTGTTTTGTCTTGAAAATTTCATTGGAACAGCTGTGTTTGACTGTTTCTCCTGCCGCCCTGATCCCGCCTTAGCCATGAGAGAGATTGTGCTCACGCAGGCCGAGCAGTGCGGGAACCAGATCGGTGCCATGGTTGGCAGCCGGGGCTCTGAGGGCTCAGCTCGGGCATGCCGGGTGGCCAGGGAAGATGTTGGCAGTGGTGGGGGCGGGGGCGGGGGCGGGTCCTCTGCATTGGGGCCCCTGGGCTCCCTGCTGGGGACGTGGTGGGACTGGGTGGCTGGTGAGGCCGCTGGGGTGGACCCCAGGGACACAGCGGCCTAGGGATAGGGGTGCGGAGGGTGGGGGTGGCAGAGGAGCTGGGGTGCCCCGTGACTTAGCCCTGGCCTGTCTGGCCCCTCCCCTCTCTTGCGGTTCTGGGAGGTGATCTCTGATGAACATGCCATCGACTCCGCTGGCACCTGCCATGGGGACAGCCGTCTGCAGCTGGAGCGCATGGAAGTATACTACAAAGAGGCCTGCGGTGAGAGCCCCTTCCTTCCCCCACCGCCTTCCTGGGAACGTGGCCCTCCCCTCGCTCATGCCCTCCCGCCCCACTCTGGTGGCAGGTACGTGCCCCGCGCTGTGCTGGTGGATTTGGAGCCAGGCATCATGGACTCTGTGCGCTCAGGGCCCTTCGGGCAGATCTTCAGACCGGACAACTTCATCTTCGGTGAGCTGTGGGGGAGGACTGGGGTGAGGTTCTTTGGCCGCTCAAAATCTAGGAGTGCCCCAAGGTCATCGTGGTGGGAATTGTGGAGTCAGGGCCCCCAGAACACCCTCCTATCCTCCGAGTGGAGTGGCTGCATCTGCCTCCTAAACGGGCTTTGGGAGGAAGGCCCAGGTGTCTCTTCAAGGTGAAGAGCTACTGATGTAAACTCCCTGCAGGGCGCTGAGTTGGGGCCGTGGATACTGAGTATCAACAGTATCAGGATGCCACGGCCCAGGAGGAGGAGTTTGAGGAGTATGCTGAGGAGGAGGCCTAGAACTTTCCTTTTCTAGGTAAACGGGGGAAGCAGTGTGGATTCTTTACTGTGTTCTGACTGCCATGTGTCACTACGCACTTGTTCGTGTCTTCACCTCTCCTCCTGCATTTTAAAGCATTTTTATAGTATATGATTTTGCCTAATAAAGTATCCTCATAGCATCTGGTTTCACCTCCACCTTCTTTTTATGGGCCCTCTGGCTACTGCTGCCAGATGCACATTGTTGTCCTGCAAGGCTGAAGCTGTCTGGGTTTATTTCATGCCCAGGAACAAGCATTCCAGTGGCTCCAGGAGGGGTCGGCATGGGCGGTGGACATGGCAGGCAGGCAGGCTTCACCTGAACTTAGGGATGCCCTGGGCCTTGGCGGCTACGTGGTGGAAACCTGTTCTGAAGGCAAGCCTTGGCTTATCCCATGTTCCAGACTTCTAGGGGACCAGCTCGCCCTCTGTTTCTTGAACTCAAAGTGGTCAGTGACCCTGGTGGGCAATGTCCCCAAAGTCCCATCTCAGGATAGGCATGTGGTCAGGCTCTGAACCAGCAATGGAGGGTGGGCAAGTAGGACCCCAGCCACTCCATCACCATGACGGCCTGGGTGTGTTTGTGTGACCTCGTTCTCTTGAGGTGGGTATGGGATATCTGGCAGGGACTAGTGGGCAGAAATCAAGCCCAGTGTATACTCACATGCACTGACCCCTATGCAGAAGGGGATTAGGTCCTGGGGGCCATAGATGGTGGTTGCTGGGCCTGTGTGCTCAGGGCAGTCTCTCCAGAGGCACAGATGGGGTTTCTGAACAGGACCTGGGGAGACAGGCAGGTGCTCACAATGCTGCTTCCCCCAACTGGCAGCCAGTGAGAGAAACGCCCGAGTGGAGGTCGGACCTGCCCCAGTCTGGAGGGCTGGGGCTCTCTGGAAAGGTGGCTAATGCGTACTGTCTGTGTCTCCCTGTCCCCCTCTCCAAAACTTCAGGGCAAAAATAACCCAAGATTGTCAGGATGAGACTGGTGAGGGTGGCACCTTTGGGAATAGGCCCTTTAGCCTGGCAGAGTCTCCTCCCCAGGCTTCTCGGGGAGCCTGGACTTCAAAGCCTGCTTTGGGGAAGCTGTCAAATAAGAGATGTGTGTGTGTGAGCTGGGTGCCGGGCAGCATGCACGGACAGTGCTCTTCTACCTGGCTCTTGTAGAACTTGTCCATGGCCTGTGTGATGGTCTCTTGGTAATTCCCACCCCCACCCCCATCACATAGATAAGATGAAGCCAGCATAGCCTGTGGGTGGGCCGATGTATAGGTTCTACCCCAGGTCCCCTGGACATACCCACCTGCCTTCGACGTGTCGGGGAAATAGGTGAGGCCCCTTTTTGTTCTCTGAATATTGGCAATGGTCTATTGCAGCCAAATGGGAACAGGCAGGCAGGAGAGTGCCTCATCTCTAAAGAAGTGGCTCCTGGGAGTGGGGAGAGGTCCCTCATACTCCCCCAACCTGTTCTCGGAGCAGGAAAAGGAGCCTTTGTGACAACCCAGCTCAGTGGCTCTCACTGTCTGAGGGGTGTCCTTGCCCAACTCAGGTGCACACCCATCTGAGATAGCCTTGCATGGACCTGGTTGGGAAGGTTCAGCTGCAGCAACCACTGGAACCTGCCTACACCTAGTGTCTCCACTCATGTGTGGGGCTAGATGCTCCCCCCTCCTGTAGTGGTACAGCCAGAGTGGCAGAGGGGGCAAGTCACTGCTGCATGGCAGAGGGGGCAAGTCACTGCTGCAGTTCCCACCTGGGTCTGAGTGAGGGTCAGGCTTAGTGCCCATGTGTTTTCCAATTACCTGGTTCCATCTGGGGGCTTCATGGACAGGAGTGTGCTTTTCCAGGCCTCTTTTCCACATGCCAGCTACAGGCCCAGGTTTCCCAAGTTTCTGGAGCCCCTCTTCCAGCCCGGCAAGCATGGTGTGTTGTAGGGGAAGGACATCAAGCCTACAGGCAGCAGAACCTGTCTGGGTATGTTCTCTACCCCTGGAGGCCCCTGGTTGTTTACCTTTTTGGGTGAGAGTCAGCTTAGGTTCTCAACATTCTTGTAGGACTTCAGAACTGTACAGACAGGGGCCCAGGAGGGAGCAGGGGCTGGGACTGGCAGCTAACCAGTGTAGTGGGGGTTGTAGGGCTCAGTCTGGTCTTGCAGGAAATTCAGGGAGGCTTGGATTTGCTGAAGCTCTAGACAAACTTGGGCTTGGATATGGAAACAGCATGGAGCTGGGGCTCTTCTGCATGCTGGAGTCTGAGTATTTGCACACTGGTGCACCCACAGGTGTTCCCCACCTGGAGCACAGCTGTGGACAGAAGCCGGGAAAGCTGTGGAGGAAAGAGGAGGAGGAGGGAGTCTCAGGGCGGCCCCAGCAGCCAGGCAGGGCCTCTGAAAGTGAGAGGCAGATCCAGCCTGTTGGCCACTTAGCAGCTGCTTGGCCAGCTGCAGATCACCTGACCTCTGCTCACCAGTAAAGGGGGGTTGCAGAAGCAGTTTCCCTCTGGGACTTCTGCATCTCGAAGGGGCAGCACACACCACTTGCTGAGAAAGCGCCGAATTCAGGCAAGCTTCTCCAAGAGCACCTCATCAGATTAACATCCAGCCTGTACAGGGCACCATCGAATATCCCCATCACTCATTCCAACCGAAGAAACCAACCTGTACAGGACACCATCAAATCTCCCCATCCGTCGTTCCAGCTGAAGAAACCAACCTGTACAGGACACCATCAAATCTCCCCATCCCTCATTCCAGCCGAAGAAAAGGGAGTCTCTGTCCTAGGGGAGCGAGCACAGGCCTATCTATGCAGTGGGCACACGGCCCCGGTTGGAGAAAGGCCCTTGGATACATGCTGGTTTCACCAGCGTCTGTGGATTGGGTTTGGCCTGGACCCCTGGACCCCAGGAGGCCGGTAGCCCCTTGCATGGGACAGGACTGGGAGGTGGGTGGGAGGGCTGAGCTTTGAGGGAAGCCATTATTTGGCCTCATGGGAAGTGGTGCAGTGGTTGGTGGCTCAGTTTTGCAGGACCTGGGTGATCACCCAAGGAGTGAAAATTGCCTTTTTATGAGAAATTGCCAAAATTGATGCAAGCTCATCAGTTGAAAAGGTGAGTAATGCTGACAGGCGGCTTCACCTGCCCCTTCCCCACAAGTAACTGGTGTTCAGAGGTGGATTTGGTTCCTTCCCAGCCTTTCCCCTTTGCATGTAGCTGTGTGCACGTACTTTTGTGTGTACACACACGTTCTCTGGAGGAGTTACTTTTATTTTTTTATTTGGGAGGACAACTAGTGAGGCAGCCTGACACTTGCTTATCTTGTCTTTTAAGTGTGGAGTCCTCTATGGAGTGGGCATCGGGGACTTTCTAGCTGGCCTCTGCCAGCTGTTTGCCCCAGTTTCCGCCCTTCACAGACATGATGGCCACCTGGTGTGACATTCAGTGGCCTTGTTTGCAGCTAGTATGATGAGACAAGTGGATCAGGTACATTATAAAACTGAGAAAGCGTACAACATGCAGAGGGAAAGGAATAATGACCATGTGTGTACTGCTCTGCTAAAGTCCACATCACATGACTGAGATGACAAACATTTTTTCACCTAACATTTGGGCCCTGAGAAAGGGCATTTATGTTTTACTTTTATTTATTACAGAGTTAGAATAAATACTGCCAGGCTTTCTTTTCTATTTTCCCCAACTCCCACTTTACCCCTCAAGTTTACCTACCTCAGAGAGAAAGCGGAGCTCGCCTGGTTAATGAGAGCCTGAAATGATTTCAGCCAGGTCACTGTGTAAAGGTCATACTGCTTCTGTCTCCTTGTACATCACTTGCTCAGCTCAGATATTTCATAGCTCCCTGTACACAGGTAGCTGTGTTACACTCCTAGCCTGCTTTCTTGGCTTGATACATGCCTGAGAGCATGTGGGAGCACTTAAGGTCTAGGGTCATGGGAGGACTGTTCTGCCCACGCCAGTTCATCTCTCCAGCTCAGCCTACATGCGTGCCTTCCTCCATCTGATTCCAGAGTAGGGGACGGGAGGTCTCACACTGACCTCCAGCTCAGCCTGCCTGCATGCCTTCCTCCATCTGATTCCAGAGCAGGGGACGGGAGGTCTCACACTGACCTCCAGCTCAGCCTGCATGCGTGCCTTCCTCCGTCTGATTCCACAGTAGGGGATGGGAGGTCTCACACTGACCTCAATCTCAGCCTGCATGCGTGCCTTCCTCCGTCTGATTCCAGAGCAGGGGATGGGAGGTCTCACACTGACCTCCAGCTCAGCCTGCATGAGTGCCTTCCTCTGTCTGATTCCAGAGTAGGGGATAGGAGGTCTCACACTGACCTCCAGCTCAGCCTGCATGCGTGCCTTCCTCCGTCTGATTCCAGAGCAGGGGGTGGGAGGTGTCACACTGACCTCCAGCTCAGCCTGCATGCGTGCTTCCTCTGTCTGATTCCAGAGTAGGGGGTGGGAGGTCTCACACTGACCTCCAGCTCAGCCTGCATGCGTGCCTTCCTCCGTCTGATTCCAGAGTAGGGGATGGGAGGTCTCACACTGACCTCAATCTCAGCCTGCATGCGTGCCTTCCTCCGTCTGATTCCAGAATAGGGGATGTGAGGTCTCACATTGACTTCGAGTTTATGTGACTTTTTCCACCTCTGCTTTCCCAGACAGCCTCTGCTGTGGGACTTGTAAGGAGATTTGTGAAGTCAGTATGTACTTTCCTTGTGTGGGTGTTTTATAAATTAGAGTCCTGGAAGGGAATAAATGTTAGAGGTACTCCAAACCCCTAACATCTAAACATCTAAGCCTGGTCCTTTTTTGGTGGTAAAATATATACAACATAAAACTTACCATTTTAACCATGTTTTAAATGTACAGTTGAGTGGCATCTAATATAATGTGTTGTACAACCATCTCCTTTATCCATATCTACAACTTCTTTATCATCCTAAACTGAAACACCATCCCCATAAATAAGTGTTTGAATATAAGACTGATGCATTTGACTCCATAAAAATTAAAACTTTATAGGCGAGAAAAATGCCTCAAAGTCAAAAGTCAACAGACTGGGGAAATAGATCTGCAACATACTTGACAGACAAAAAGCTAATTTAGGTTTTTTTTTTGTGTGTGTGTGTATATATATATGTATATATGTGTATATGTATGTGTGTGTATATGTGTATGTGTATATATATATGTATGTGTGTGTGTGTATATATATATAGCTATCCTAAATTATTAAAAGACCAGCAGCCAAATTGAAAAATGGGCAAGGGATGTAAAGAAACAGTTCAAAGAAACATGTAGATTTTTAAATATTTGGTAATTTTTTTACTGTGGTAAAATATGTACAACAGAAAATTTAAGTACATTAAGTAGAAATATGTTGTTGTGCAACTATCACCACTATCCATTCCAAACCTGTGTTATCATCCCAAAGTGAAACTCTGCATCCACAGAACAATAGCTCCCCATTCCCTTTCCCCAGTCCCCTGGAAACCACATCCTACTCTCTGTGTCTATGAATTTAACTGCTCTAGGTATGTTATAAAAGTGGAAAGCATAGAGTATTTGCATTTTTTGGTTTTAATCTTTTCAAGGTTTATGTTGTAGCATGTATTAGAATGCCTTTCCTTTTTAAGGCTGAATAATATATCATTGTGTGTATTGATCATACTTGCTTATCCATTCATCTGTAGATGGACATTTGGGCTTTTCTACTCTATGGCTCTTGTGAATGCTGCTATAAACATGGGTGTGCAAATTCCCACTTTCGGTTTCTTGGGGTATATACCCAGATGTGGAATTACTGGATCATATGGTGATTACTGTTTTCCACAGTGGCTGTGCCACCTTACTTTCCCACCAGCAGTGTGCAGGAGTCCTGACTTCTCCACATCCAGCATTTGCTGTTTTCTGGGGCTTTGTTGTTTTGGTTTGCTGGTGGTGGTTTTTCTTGATGGCAGCTACACTTATATGTGTCAGTTGGTATGCATTGTGGTTTGGATTTACATTTTTCTCATGATTAGTGATGCTGAGCACCTTATACTGTGCTTACTGGTCATTTGTATATCCTCTTTAAAGAAATGTATATTTTAAAACCTTTGCTCATCTTTAAATTTGATTGTTGTTGTTGCTTCTGAGGTCTTTATATAGCCTGGATATTAATTACTTATCAAATATATAATGTGTGAATATTTTCTTTCCCTCTGTGAATTTATTTTCAATATATTGATTGTATCTTCAGATACATAAAAGCTTTTCACTTTAATGAAGTTCTTTTTATGTATTTTTGTTGTTGTTGTTGTCTGTGCTTTCACTGTCATATCCAAGAAATTATTGTTAGGTTCTGTGTTGTGAAACATTTTTCCTACATTTTCTTCTAAGGGTTTTATAGTTTTAGCTCTTACAATTAGATGTTTGGTCCATTTTAAATTAAGTTTTTTATATGGTGTAAAGTAAGGGTCCAACTTTATTGTTTTCCATGTAAATACTCATTTTTAATACCATTTAAAAATATACTGTCCTTTCCCCATTGAATAGTTTTGACTCCCTTGTTAAAAATCATGACCATATTTTTTGGTTCTTTTTTTCCATTGCATTGGTCTTTATGTCTGTCTCTATGCTGGTACAACATTGTTTTGGGCACTGAAGCATTACAGTAAGTTTGAGACCAGGAGGTGTTAGTCCTCTAACTTTGTTAGTTTTTAAGATTGATTTGGCTGCTTGGGGTTTTTTGAGATTTCATCTGAATTTTAGAATAGGTTTTTCTGTTTTTGCAAATATTGGAATTTTTATAGTGATTTTATTGAATCTGGAGATGACTATAGATAACAATGGCATGTTGACAAGGTTTTGTCTTCCATTGCATAAACACATGATGTCTTTTCATTTGTGTCATCTTTAATACTTTTTTGCAATGTTTATAGTTTTTGCTGTACAGGTTTTTCATTTCCTTGGTTAAGTTTGTTTCTAAGTATTTTATTCTGATGCTATCATAAATAATATTGTTGTCTTGATTTCTTCTTCAGATAGTTTATTGTAGAAATACAACTGATATTCATGTGTTGATTTTCTATCCTGCAGTTTTGCTGAATGTTATTTATTGCATCTGATAGTTTATCTCACAGAAACTAGAAGATTTTTAATATATAAGATTATATCATCTGTGAACAGAAAATTTTACTTTTTTAAAAATTGGAATATCTTTTATTATTTCACTTGCCTTATTGTTTTAACTAACTAGAACCTTCAGTACTATATTAAATAGAAGTAGTAAAAGCAGATATCCTTGTTTTTGTTTTTAGGGTGAAAGTTTTCAGTCTTTCGTTATAATGTTAGCTGGGTGTTTTTTTTAATATAACATTATGTTAAGGTGTTTTATTCCTTTTTATAGTTTATCAAGTATATTTTATCATGAATGTGGGTTAAATTTTGACAAATGCTTTTTCTTTGATTAAGATGATCACATGAGGGTTTTTTCTTCTTTATGTTAATGTGATATTACACTGATTCTCACGTGTTGGAACATACTTTTATTTCAGGAGTCAATTATATTCATTCATAGTGTATAATCCTTTTAAAGTACCACTAAATTTGAATTGTTGGTATTTTGTTGAGAATTTTTGCATCAGCATTTGTAAGGGATGTTTGTAGTTTTCTTATGGTGCCTTTGTCTAGCTTGGTGTCAGGGTAATACTAGCTTAATACAATAAGTTAGAAAATATTACCTCCTCTTCAACGTTTTGAAAAAGTTTGAGAAAAACTGGTGTTAATTTTGCTTTAAACGTTGGGTAGAATTCAACAGTGAAGGCCTCTGGTCTAGGCTTTTCTTTGTTGCTGAGTTTTTGATTACTGATGTCATCTTGCTGAATCTCCTTGCTGAATCTCTTTACTGAGTAGGTTTATTCAACTTT